TTGTCAAGTGGAGGGGCTGATTTGCTCTACTTTTAGGTAGAGGGGCTGATGTGCCACAACAATGGACGTAGAAGGGCTGAATTGCACCTTCTGCCCAAAAAACAATTGAAACACTTGGCTAAAAAAAAAAAAAAGGCAACAAAGAAAAAAAAGATCTTTTTTCGATTGAAAAAATTGTACTTGGAGAGGTTCTCAAATGGTTAACTTCCAATTTGAAAAAATATATATTTATTTGTTGTTGTTCCTTCCTTTTAACTGTTAGAGTACTTTTATAATTTAATATAAATAGTTTTTCTTTCGTAACAATTAATAAAAAAATAAAATTAGAAAAATTCTATTGCAATTTGCGGTGACAACGCGTACTATTTTGAAGTGCAACCCCTAATTATGCCTAGAGACGTTGACAGTTGTCACCATCACATGGCAATGACTCCTAATTTGCGGTAGCATCTTGATTGACTCAAGAGTCATCGTTTTAAGATGAGGTTTATTTAACTTGTGCTTAGGGCACAAGTTAGAAAAAAATCTTGACCATAAACTAATCAATCAAGATTCTGTTGGCAGTACAGTAAAGATCTTTAAAAAACAATTGAAACACTTGGCCCAAAAAAAAAAAAAAAAAAGGGCAACAAAATAAAAAAGATCTTTTTTGGGTTGGCAAAATTGTACTTGGAGAGGTTCTCCAATGGTTAACTTCCAATTTGAAAAAATATATATTTATTTGTTGTTGTTCCTTCTTTTCAACTGTTAGAGTACTTTTATAATTTAATATAAATAATTTTTTTTTTCATAACAATTAATAAAAAATAAATAAAATTAAAAAAATTCTACTGCAATTTGTCGAGACAACGTATACTAGTTTGAAGTGCAACCCCTAATTATGCCCAGAGATGTTGACAGTTGTTACCATCACTTGGCAATGACCCCTAATTTGCGGTAGCATCTTGATTGAGTCAAGAGTCACCATTTTTAAGATAAGATTTATGTTAGACAAAAAAATTTTAAAATAAGGGTTTTTTTTACTTTTTTTTGCTAAATATTAAGCGCAAAAGAATATGAACTTGTCTTTTTCAATAATAAAATACAAAAATATTTTATTGACAATATTTATTGAGAATATATATTATAACTAACTAAATTGTTATTGACTTTTTTGTATTCAATTGGGGTGCATGAGTCCATACGATTTTACGCATTTGATATTATATGGGTGTGGTGAGAATTTTTTTCTTTAATTAATTGCATTCAGAGTTACTTAATATTGGAGAAATTAGAATCTTGATAATAATGGAGAAATTTGCAAAACTAATTGTAAAAACCAAGTGTATGTGTGCAAAGCTAATTGGTTGAGGATGGATTATATTGAATGGGAATTGTTTAATCATCAAAACAATATGTGATTTGAGTTTTATAAAGGATTGAGTATTTCTAGTACTTTATAATAATAAAATTTCTTTTTTTGTTCAAAAAAAGATATTGAAAAAATTTAAATCTTAATCTTAATCTTAAATTAAAATTTTTATATTAGTAGCTGTGAATAAAAAAAGGTTTTTATGTTAGTTGCTATGAGGAAAAAGGTTTTTATAAGTAAAAATATTGGTTACTTATATTTATTTGCTGTTGCTTATGTATTTTTATA